GATACATGGTCAGTCCCACATGCCCGTCTATGCAGATACCACACCTGGCAGAGGTAAGACCACCCTTGGGACAGCATGTTCCTCCCACTCATCCCCATGCACAGCACAGTCAGGTACTTCAAACTACCCCAACTAGAGCTGCTCCAACATAACGCTGAACGTGCAGCCTCTGCACCCTTGGGATGCACACTGCAATTAATGGGACAAAATAACACTGTGGCGTGTAGTGCTTTTCAGGGCTGAAATCCTGACTTTTCTAGACCTTGAGAACTCAAGACAGCAGCTCTCTGCCCCAGGGGAATGTCACAGGCATCACCTCTTCCCATCCCTCCATGAACAGTCCCTAGAAGCAGAGCCACCAGCCCTGGGCAGCTCTCCCACCCAACGGACACTCTCCAGCTGGCACTGCACTGCAGTTTGAGTGAAAAAACCTGGAGGAAGAGGAAGTCTTGCAGTGTGTCTGTTGTTCCCCACAAAGGGAACAGGACAGACTACAAGGGCAGAGCTTTTCTAGGGGGCACAAGTTGGCATGACCCAGCTGCTTGGCTGCCAGGATGCTCTCATCTTCAGTAGATGATGCAATTCCTGATCCTCATATCTGCCAGTATCCCTGCCAGCCTCACATTCCAATCACAACTCGATTTTAGCAGCTGCTTTCTCTCTCTCAGACACACACATACACATACAAACGCACCTCCTCAAGCAGCTGTAGAACTCAAGCTTAGCTGGGTAAGTACAGCCTCTTGTAAAGCACTTGGGACTTGGGGAGGGAGCTTCAAAAGTTTGGAGGATTATTGCCTTATGCCAGGATTCGAGAGGACTCCGTCCCTGGCCTCTTTGCTCTACCAGCTCTTGAGACAGCACTACTAGTATCGGCACTGCGGAGGAAAAAAGCAAGATGAATAGAGGAAAATAAGCAGCGGGGGATGCCTGAGGCTGGTTGACGTGATCTGCAATAGATAAAGTCTGCTGGAGCCTCTTACCTCTCCTCCAGACACTACCCTCTCATCTGCTCTCCTTGTGACCAATTCCACCTCTCTGCTTCACCGTCAGCGAGCACAAACCCCAGCTCAGGCCGGCACTGGCCATGACGCATGGTCCCAGCCTAGCCTGATAGCCACAGCAGCATCTGAACACCTCTTAAACCTAACGCAGCGTTTGGGAGGTGGAGGTCAGCCTAAGCAGCATATGGAGCAACCACATGGCGAATACCAGCCTCCCTAGGAGCTGTCTGCCACAGATGGAAAAAGCCCAGGAGCCATCACAACGAAATCTCCTGGCTGGGGGTGACGCATCCTCCTTGTCAGCTTTCCAAGCCACTGAGCAATACTGGAAACCTCAGCTCCTCTCCCCACGCGTGCGCCCGGCACTGACTCACTCGCTGCCGTTTTGGTACTGTGGTTTGCCAGTGGGAGTAGCAGAAGGTGGGATATGGCGATGAGATAATCCCAATGGCGTGTGGCTACCATGGCAGAGCGGGACTAGCCACCCACTCCAGTAGCATGTGTTGGCTGTACATGATGCGGATGTGCCACCTAAATCGGGGTCTAGCCTGCTGATGTGGTCACAGGGATTTTTTTAACCTTGACTCTTGGTAGAGGTGTGATATACCACCACAGGACCACACATAGTCCTCTCCTGGAGAAAGACATCCCTTCATGTGGTCCGAGTGCTTAGTCAACGTGCAACCAGGAAAGCAGACAACAGCAGGGAAACATAGACAGGTCACCATGAGCAATGCTCCAGCTGTGAGATCTTCCAGGCTGCAGGACATGATACAGTCCACAGAATCCATGGCATTTCCCTGGCTTAAATCACCCACAAACCAAGCATGAGGTTATAGCCCCACGCTGGCCAGAGGCAGGCAAGGAGAGCCACCATGGTTTCTCCAGCTCTCATTCTTCAGAGTACTGCAATTCTTTTCCATCTGAAACCATTCTACCGGCTACAATTTAAAAACAAAATCAATCCAGCAAACATTGCTAAGCAACTGGCTGTCAGTGCCATATCCCACCCTGATGAAAGTATTTGCCTTCTCCATGACCTGGCAAGGAGCTTGCTGCTCAGCCCTTGCCAGATTTTGTATATTCAGCTATTGTTGGCAAATCCAGGTGCTTGGCTGGATTAGCAAAGAAAACTCCAGGAAGTCTTCTGCAAGCATGCTGGTGAAAAACACCCTGCAGAGAGGCTGTAAGGAGTAGCACTCCCTCATCCTAGGCACTAGGATCACAACAGCAAGGTACTGGTCTCTGGGCGTTACCATGGTCTGTGGGTCTGCGAGTCTTGGTGCTGCTGCACATCATACAAAGGGGATGAGATGGAGAGCAAATGTGCTGAAAACCTGGCTGGAATGCACAGCAAGCTACTTCAGGCTACAACATCTGTCTGAGAGGCTGAAGGAGATCCTGCTTGCCCATGGGGACATGCTCAAGGGGTGAGCAAGACCCTCTCCAAAGTCTCCTGCCCCTTATGCTAACTTTCTTCAGGAACAGCAGCTGGGCAGGAGCACCTCGGCACAGCTTCTGGCACGGTGGTGCCCCTTGGTGTGTGTGCTAGGATGGAACTTCCCCCAAGGTCAACTGGAGCAGATTCAAAGTCCAACTCTTTGGCTTCACTATCATACAAGAAAGTCTGGCTCACACAAAGCAGCCTAAGTCAGGTTTGCCATTGAAACCAAGTCTCTAAGCACAGCTTCCAGGAGGTCACACAGCATGAGTGAGCCCTCAGGGCTTCCCCATCTCTGCAGTAGCCCAGGCTGCAGTACTCCACTCTCCCCTTCACAGGAGGGACTCTCCTAGTCAACCCCATCCTGGACTCTTTACATGTTCTTCTTGCAAAGCCACCAGCAATTTCTCCCTGCTGCTAGAGCAGGCTGTGCGCATCCATGCTTTCCCACCCAGTTCCACTGGGCAATTCAGGACCACGTTACACAGTGGTGCCAGAGCATCTCCTGCAGCAGCTCCCTGGACACTTGCACCATAAGCAAGGATTCCATTCCAGACAGGGCTTTGCAAACTCTGCACCTCCTTTCCCCCTTGGCCACCACCACACCCGGACCTTTCTCCCTCCTCCATCGCAGCCATCAGCACCCACCTCCCCCAGATCTCCTGGCAGCCCCATTTCCTCCGTGGCCACTCTAATGCTTGGCTAATGGTGCATCATCCCCAGCATTGTTCAGACATATTCAATAAATCAGAATCCAATTACCGGGTTAAGGAAATTGGAAGCAAATGCAATTAGCCCCAGCCCCTCCCACATGCTATGCCCTCGCTTCCTCCTTAATGAGAACTTCTCTTTCGCAGGAGCACTCACTGCTGCATCCAACCGCCTGGGAACAAGGTGGCTGCTACTGCACAGCGGGGGTACGGCGAGGGGGCACCGACTCCATCTTCCCTTTTAATAGGGCAGATGGTTAATATCCCTGGCATTAATTCTCTCCAGGAATAGCACACTCACTCCCTACTCAGCTATAACAGGCGTCCATCAGGGCTGACAGCTTCTCCCCAGAGAAAGGAGCATCTGGTCCTTACTATGAAAAGGACTTAAAAGAATAAATAAATAAATAAATAAACACATCTCTTGTTATAAAGCTGGAGAACTGGTGCTGTTTCAGCATTTCAGCCTAAGTGCTGCATGTGGACTGGAACAGAGGAAATTCTGAGTCAGGTCAGATGCCCCGAGTTGAGTTGATTTGACCTGGGAGCAAGATGCTGCCTGGGCAGCAAAATGCCATGGCTGGGTCCAGCACAGAGCTCCCACCTGAGCAGGACTTGCCCCCAAAGGGCTCCCAGGAGAAGGCAGCAGAAAACAGCCGCTGCCAGTGGGTGGGACACGACACCAGGCACAGCTCCTCTAGAAGGGCTTGCACCGGCTGTGGGCTGAGGACTGATGGTGGGGGCCAGGAATATGCTGTGTGCTCAGAGGACAAGGAGGAAAACTGCATTGAGAGAACCTTGGGAGTATTTCCTACAGCAGCAGGACACTCTGACATCACTCCATCCAGCAGACTAACAATTAACCCCACCAGCCACCAACAATGTGCAGCCATGAAGGGCACCTCTTCCCTGATGAGTGGTAACTGGAAGGAGGCTACAACTGCACTCACAGCAAGCGAGGGTGCACCAAAACTCCCACCCTGCCCTTCCCATGCTGACAGCAGCAAGGGAGTGAGGGTCCCACAAGGCAACCCTCGCTGCAATCCTCCCTGCCTCTCCCAAGAGGTCCTTTGGGTACCAAAGGATATTTTTTACCCCGATGGTGCTGGAGCGGCTGGTAACCCAGCAAGTTCTTACCTTCCTCTCCCTCTCATTCACCAACAGTCCCTTATTCCCCACATTAACTCCTCTCTGCAGAGCAAAACAGGCGCTCAACAGTTATTTTATCCCCCTTGCACCATCTTATTGTATCCTCTGCAGAGAACAGAATCATAGAATCATACAATAGTTTGGGATGGAAGGGACCTTAAAGATCATCTAGTTCCAACCCCCCTGCCATCAGCAGGGACACCTTCCACTAGACCAGGTTGGTCAAAGCCTCATCCAGCCTGGCCTTAAATACTTCCAGGGAGGGGGCATCCACCAGTTCCTTGGGCAACCTGTTCCAGTGTCTCCAGAGTAAGAGTCCCAGCACCAGTGAAGACCTCGCCCACCATGGAGATGTGCTCTCACACACCCATCAATTTTCTGAAGGAAAAAAAAAAAAAAGAAAAAAAAAAGAAAGGCTTTTCCTTTCTTTCCATAAGGTCCTGGAATAATCTACACAGGTTTTAATTAATAGGTTTAGGACTGCCAAACATGCCAAGAAATCAAGTAAAGTGAAAGATTCAATCCTAAAAATACAACCCAGGCAGAACCAATCCCAAGCACACCCACTGAGCGTGGATGAAGGGCCCAGACCCACCTAGCATCCCAAAACCATGGCCCTGAAGAGGGACGGGACTATCCACCCATATAATGAAGTTCCATGAGGAAAATCAGGAGAAACCAGGGAGGAGGCAGAACCTGTGATGGCGGGTGTCGTGGACAGCACGGTCACTGGGGATCCTCTCGCTCTCCCGCTGATTAAAGGCATGGAGCCGGTACGGGTCCTCTCCGCCCTTCCACCTCCGGGCGCTCAGGTACCGCCGCTCTTCAAACTGATCCCAAAGGTCGTCCCAGTCCACGTCTGAGCCCTGCGCGCACAAAGTCAGCTCCATTAGAGAGAGGAGAGACTGGAGGACATCTGACCCCGCTCCAGAGGTCTTCCCGAGCCCAGATGGAGGTCACTCATCCCCACGGCACAGGCAAACTTCACCAGAGCAGGCTAACAGGGAGACTCATTAGGTCTTCAGGTTTTGTTTTTTCCTAGGTCTTGAAACAGCATATGAAAGAGAGCCTGCCAATTTGAATTTAAAATGACTAATTTGAAACCAAATTCAGGTCTCTGGTGGATCCCCCTCTCAAACAGCATCATCTTGAGAAATATAAAAGCGTAAAGGTCTTGTTAGGGTTTTAATTTCTCTCCCACTAAAAAACCAAAGATATTTTACACCACATGCCCCCTCACCCCTATAACCCTCCAGGCAGGAAAGGGCCAGACAGAAGCAGTTTCATCAAGCTCAATCCCACGTTTTCACAGCTGTACCCTGGCCCCAGGGCCAGCTCCAGCAACAGGACCCTGGAAGAAGGGGGCCATGGTCCTCCCATTCTGATTTCAGTCCACCTTTGCTGCAACAGGTCTCCCACCGAAGACTTCGGCCCTACCGCAGGGAGAAGAGCAGGCAAGCACGTGCCTGTGTGGTTCCTCCCCTCCAAAAGGATAGAGGAGCTGCATTTTGGGGCTACCCAACAGCTCCGACAGCCTTCGGGGAGTTTAAGCATCCCTCAGCAGCATGATGCTGTCGGAGGGTTTAAGGATTCCTTGGCTGCAGGGTGCCTGAGCCAGCCAGCACAATGCAACGCCGATAAGATCTCATCGTTACAGCAGCACAACCTCTTTGATCTCAGCCCACGTGTAACACGGAGAGATGCAAACATTTACAGACATCTCAGCTCTAAAGAAAATTGTGATCTTATCCAATAATTGATCTTTTCTTCTTAGTTTCTTTTTTTTTCCCCTCCTCAGTTCACACCATATCAAAGCCGATTTTGCCTGCTAATAGCGCAAAATGAAGCTTTTTGAAATGGGTGATTTTTATCCCGTAATTGATTTTACTGGCAGCGCGTTTTCTCTAGTCATAGGAAGGGGAGGAGAGAGTACCAGCTCCCGCAGGTGAACCGTGGCAGGATCAAGCCAGGCATCTCCAGTCACATAATGCCTCAAACCACCCTGGGCCACAGCAATACCAGCACCCCCAAAAAGCCAACAGAGCCCAGGGATGCAGGGGTTTCCACATACAGGGTCATATTCATCCTCCCCAAGTGTGACCCCACGGTCTTCTCAGGAGCTCCTCCAGCACTTACCCCAATGCAGGGAAGATCAGAAGAAACCCCTGAGCCACCACCCATACTAGGAGAAAGTTATTCAAAGCTGGGAGAAAGTTATGAAACCAGTAAGGTCACTGCAGGAGGTTTACAAGGAAGATGTATGTAACCCGCCTGTGGGCTTTCAGGAGGACCGACATACACAGGGTGATAAATATTGTTTATGTTTTTTCTAAGGCATCTTGCAAAACATGATTTACTGCCGCAGTAAAAGATGAGGGAAAAGTGAGACGATTGCATCGCGGAGCCACCGACAGCCTGGCGTTTAGAAGATTTCATGATGACCCTGGGGGGCCTGGTACTGTTAAAACAACCGCCGCGGACTTGCAGTCCCTAAATTTTAACATTGTGAAGAAAAGTAAAAGTTGGTTTTATCAAACTTAATAAGAAAATAAATAGCTTTTAAAAGCAGCCACATAGCACTTAAGGCTGTTGGATGTGCATATATATTTTTAATGTCAATTAAACCAAATAGCCTTGGACCAGCTGGAAGGGGAGCAGCTGAGCAAGCATCTGACAGCTCAAGCAGGAGGGCTGGCCGGTTCCCATGGGCAGCCATGGAAGCTCCAGGAAAGCTGGAGCTTCTGCCTGTGCTGCAAGGGCAGCGAGGCTCTGGCCAGGCCAGGCCAGCAGAAGCCGGGGGTCAGCGCAGGGGAAGGTCCTGGCACTTTTGAGGTCTGGGACAGCATTTCCCCCGCATCCATCTAACTCCATCGCTGTCCTGTTACTGGGGGATCCCAGTGGTAAATGGATACATGGACAAACACCAGTGCCTCATCAACATGGGATTTGCTTCTCATCCTGCCCTGGATATACCTTGCATCCAAGGGCTGTATTCTTGGTTCACACCACAATGAATAACTAATGCACCCACATTGATTCACCCAGGCTCTCCTTTTTGGGTCAAGGAAAGCTATCAGTAGAACGGTTCCTAAATGCTGGATAGCTAAATACACATCTGAGATCAAGAGCAAACAAATGCCAAATAGAGGGTAAAGAGTTATTTTAACCACTCTCTTCCCACAAAACAAGCCAGGGTTTAGATTAACTTTCTCAAACAGAAGTAGACACGCAGGTTTGGTCATTTGCTTTCAACCCACATCTCCTGTCCAAATCTTCTAGGTGTTCTTCAGCTTTCCATCCCAAGCTTCCTTGCAAGGGTAACTGAAATGAGAGCAGAATGCTCAGACACACATGGGCATTGATCTCTGCAAAACAAATACCTGCACAAAGTGGTGAGGGAAAGCAAGGCAGCGACCTTGGATGAAAAGCTCCCAGCTATGCAAGAGGTGGGAGGCAGGAGATCTCCCCGACCTGCACGCAAGGACTTGCCTGTTTCTTGGTGCCTGATCAAGGATGGGGACAGCAAGTTAAAGCATAAGGAGAAATTCCCTTCGCTCACCCAGGGACAGCACATCAGTTACAGGTTACTGGGTAAGGTCTTCATTATAATATTTCTGCCATGTATTATCACCTTTTCCTCACACCAGAATTCTGTCTTGGGAGTTATTTAACTGATGTGTAGAAATCTAAATTTAATTTATTATGATCTAACTCACTTTAGAAGCCAAATTACCCTGCACCAGAAAAGGATCAAGTCAATACTCCACTTGCCTTTCTATTTATCTTCTACAGGGCTCCTCTCTCCAAGTTTCATATTCATTTTCTCTCATGTACTAGTAATAAATTTTCATTTTTTTTCTTGGAATTAGGTAATTTCTCTTTCAACATTGCAGTTTAATGGCTAGTATTAATTATAGGAAACACAGTCAATGCTTAAAAGAGTTTAAGAGACTCAACGAGACTGCAGGAAAGAGAGGAAAATAATATCCAAGGGGTAGCTGGCTGCTCCTGGCAAACAAGTGCCACCGCTTTGGACACTGCAGCAGGGGGGTCAACGAGGGGGACACCCCCAGGCAAAGAGACATGGACAAAACATTATGGAGAGAAGCTCCCATCTCACACCAGCACCAAGCCGAGAGCAGAGCTGGCCAAGAGCCTTTTCCTTCGCCAGCTCGCTAAAAGCACCGCACAAAAGCACAAAACCATCCACTAAAGGCACCTCCCCAAAACCACCTGCTGCCTCGTCAGTGGAGGGCAAACAGCAAACCTCCGGAGTGAACACAAAAGCAGCTTTTCACTGCAACTGTACATTAAAAATCGAAAGCCTCTCAGTGCAAAGATGTAATTCATCATCTGCCTTTTAAATCATGGCTCAGAAACAAAAAAAGGGAAAAAAATTTTTTTTTTAAAAAAGGGAGTGGTGTTGTGAGGGGAGAGCAGGTCATTAGCAGTAAAACTACAATTTTCTGGCAACTGCTAATGCCTTGTTTATGTGGATTTCTGCAAATATGACATTTTAATGGCATCATAATTGTGTGATTACAGTACAGCAGAGATCGCTGGAGTGGGAAGGAGGAAGGAGCGACCCAGCCGGCTGCTGCCACTGGTCCTCAGCGGCCCCACAGGATGCTCTGCCCGCTCCTGCCAGCACCCGCAGGCAGCCCCCAGCACTGGCTGGACGCTGGGCAGGGGGTCAGCATGTCATGGCAGCACCGTGGCCGTGGTGAGGTGACCCAGCAGGGAAAGGGCATTTTGGTTGAAGAGCCTGGAGCAACCAGTGATCAGGAACGTGCAGGTGGCTCTGGTCCTCTGGTCCCCAGGGCCAGCTTCCAGCTGCCCAGGAAGAAAAGGAGTGGGCAGCAAGAGCCAAAAGTGGACTCTGATTCACTTTCCTCTTTCATGGCACTGTTTTAAAATAGAGAACTTAAGCTTTAGCTAAAATAAAAATCATCTTCCTTTTGGTGCTGCTGAGCGTTGCCATTAGACCAAGGTGAATCGGACCAGCACCGTGCGCAGCCTTTCAGGAGGTGGCAAACCCAAGCCAGCCCGGCACCGGGGTTTGCCAGGGAGTCCCAGCCTTTGGCCAGACAAAGGAATTTTGCCTGTGCAAGTGCAATAATGACCCTAAGGGGGTCTGCCAGCAGCTAAATAGTAGGTGCCTCTACTTCAGTCACCCTCACACCCAGTTTTCCCCGGAAAATCTCATCACTACCTAATCCCTGCCTGAGCACTCACCACTGAGCCTCCGTCCTGTCTTCCCTGGGACTCAAGCATTGCAGAAAAGGAGGGGAGGGGGATATAAAAAAAATACATCAGCTTAGCAAAAGCTCCAATAAACAAGTGAAAAACTCTAGAAACTCAGATGCCCTGCGGCATGTTGCTGCCCAGCTGCGCTTGGTCCCTCCTCTGCCTGTGGATGGTTGGAGCAGGCATGCGTGTTTGGCACAGCTTGGGGGCACTGGAGGCGGAGGGCAAGCTGCAGGAATGGCAACCAAGCATTATACAAACGAGATTTAAACGTCTCACTGAAGTGCAGGGCCCCTGCAAGCAGGAGGTTCAATTATAAAGCTGTTACTGGCCCAAGCACTAATGCCATCTGAAAGCATTATAATACTTCAGAAAGGGTAGGGCTCATTCCTCCTCATCCCCCGGTGCCAGTGGATGGAGTGAGGGACAGCAGCTCCAGAGAGGAAAGAAGCTGGGCAGCATCATGCTGCCTCCACCCTCTTCCCAGTCTCCCTGAACAGCCCAGATGGAACACTGAGGTACGAGATCCTTCAGTCGAGTTTTGCTGTAGTCTTCCCAGCGGCTTGGCTTAGCCAAGCGTGCAGTGCTGTGCATCCTGATGGCCTCATCCCCAAGATGCAAGAGGGATAAAGACAGAAACCATGGTCACACTCTTTGCTCTGTCTGAAGAGCGCATGGCGGTGCCAAAATCAGGCTGTGGGTCTCTGGAGAACAGGCTTCATAACCATCCTGCAGTACATCCTCCAGTGCATCAGGTACCGCTCAGCAGCAAACCAGCACAGACCCTGGAAGGGTCCCACATCTCCTTTCTCTTATCCCTCTCCTCCAGACTGCACAGCCCCTGAGCCAATCAAACAATTAAATACAAATTTAAGCAACTCCAGGCATTTTTAGCAGCCTACAGAAATCCCTGTTTAAATGCTTGAAGTTAAGTACTTGCTCAAGTGTTTCATTGGCTCAGCACTGCCTTCTCCAGCTTTGTAATGACACCAACCACACATCGGAAACAGAGGTAGCTCTGGGCCCCAGCTATCATCCATCCTTAATTAGCCTCCTGCCCCATGGGGATTTTAGCTCCAGTTCCTTTATCTGAGGGCTACGAAGCTCCTCTTCCTGTTGCACCAGTACCTGGGCACAACACACAGGTGAACCTTGGTGGCATGTCCTCCAGGACCCTGCAAGGATACACAGCAGACCCATGTCTGTCAGGATCCCACCTGCCCCAAGGAGGAACAGCATCTCCTACTGTTTGGAGACGATTTACTGCCTCTCAAGGGAGACTTGCAGATCTGAGTCTGCTCTGACCCCACTTGCTGGGGGAAGAAACAACAACAACAACAACAAAATCAAATAAAATATTAATACGGACACCTAATTAAAGCAAAGCACTCCTCTAGCAAGGCCTGTCCTGCAGCTGAGGTCCCTGGAGAAGCTCTGAGCAGTCACCATTAAGCTTCTCACCTTTCCCGGCTTGTGCACATCCACAGGCATGCTGCTCCATCTTCAAAGGGTGGAGCATCACCTCCTCCTCTGCTAGCTCAGCAGGGAACACCAGTACCTGAGGACTTTCCAGCAAGTGTCCCACTTTCTCACTTGACCTCGAGGCCAGGGCCATGCTATCACCACCTTTGCTGTCCTCCCTGCCTACTGCCCTGTTTCCTTTACCCACCTCTCTCCAAACCACCATGCGCCCTTTAACACCCGCTCCAGCACGGGCAGTGTCTGGATCGTTCCTGTGTTGCACACACACATTTACACAACTAAGACACCCACTGACAACAGTGGGCAACAGGACTGACAAAGGCTGGAAAGTGGCCATGGAAGAAGACTTGACCTTCAAGAACTATGGCTGCAACCACTGTCTGGTTGGAAACATCCCTGCTCAGGATCTGGAGAAGGCTCTCCAGTGTCTTCCTCTGATTGTCCCCATGCTCAACAAGCATCAGCACAGGCTGCTGGCTACTGATTCAGTGCAAGGAGCCATCTCAGGGCTAAGGCAGCTGGGACACTGTTAAGTCAATCACAGCTAGAACCAGTTTTTTGTGTATCTCCTTGTCTGTATCTGTGATAAACAACATACAGGGTCCAAAACACACTCCAGAGGTTTAAATCTGCCAAAGTCTCCAGCCAAACGCAACAGCATGAAAAGCCGCCACAACATTATTGATGCTTTTTCCAGAAAGGGCACCAAAGCTCTGATTTTAAAACGGATGGCCAGGGCAGTCACCAAAATGGGGAATTTATTTGCAAATCAGGAGCAAGGGATCGAGTTGCAAGGAGGGAAAGATGACAGATTCATTGCTTTGATGAAAAGCCAAATTTAATTTCCAGACCTTCCCTTAGGGAAAAAGCAAGTCAGCTCAGAGTTCACACCACGCTTATCAGCAAGCACTCGCCACACCGGCAGCAGTGTCAGGGTTAGATATACCCCCACCTCCCACAAACAGCCTGGGTCTGAGCTTCACATGTGGATGATGCTCCTATCCACTGGCTGTAGCATCAGACCACTGTCCTGCCTCTGTGGGGGAGAGGCAGCCCACGCTGCCAGCCAGATCCTAAGGAATTCCTGTGGTGACCTCCATCATCTCCAACATGCTGAGAAACCTCCTGCCTCCTTGTGATGATGGAGAGGAGTGCAGGATCCAGGCCACTGACCTCTAGAAACAACATCCAGCTTCAAAACTCCACATGTTCACACTTGCAAAGATGCTCTTCCTTCTTTGACCCCCCAAATCAGGCACGCGCATGTGGCCATACAGAAGCACTTCGCTGCGTAAAGTACGCAGACTTTAAATCTTTAAAATAATAAATTAGCCCGTAGGATAGTCTGACACATGAAGACAAATCCTGTATAATTAAAAAGGAAAGGAAGCCGATTATATCCTCCTGGAGAATATTGCTGCCTGCTTCTGTTTTATTTATACGTTACACTGTATAATGAGCTGAATATTTAGGAGGTCAGCACAAACCAAGCTGCTGACTGGAGAGAAGACCCAGCTCTGTCTGTGCCAGGAACCAAGCAGGACGATGGAGAGGATTTTTGGTCATCTTCTCCTCCCCCTGTCCACAGCTCCCCTGGGATGCTGTGGAACTGCTTGGACCAACTACTCAAACTCAACTGCTTGTGCTCAGGCTGCATCGGTCTTCCCAAACCTCCAGCAAAAGAGGTCTGAGCTCCCCCCCCACCCCCCAGTAAAGTATGAGCAAGGTCAGCCTGAGCCCATCAACTCTTCTAATGAGTCTGCAAACTAATTTTAGACAGCAAACAAGACCAAACAGGTTTTCAGAGTCTACAAGAGAGTCTCTGCTTCTACTGAGAAATATATATATATTTTTTAATTTTTTTTTTAAGATTTCAGGTTAAAAAAAAAAAAAAAAGGCGGAAAACCACTGGTCTGGGAGCAGCTCTGCACTGTGGTGAGGCCTCCAGGTTGATGGCAATAGTCCCCCACCAATGTCCCCACTGTGGCTCCCACCAGTGGTGGGACACCCACAGCTCCCTTGGGCTCTCTCCATCCTTTGCTGATGCCAGCTCCCCTGAATGCCTTTGCCCCCTGGCAGAGGGGGTCCCTTCGGCACCCTGCTCCAGGCTCGCTGGGAGATGGCTGAGATCATCTTTGCAGCC